GAATGCACTGGCAGTCGCGGTCGATTTCAGGTCCTTCCATGACAAACCGGCGTAATCGTTGATCCGAGCGTCGAACTGCGACGCCTGTCTGGTTAGCAAACTGCAAAAGCAACATGACGACAGGCAGCCGCTGCTTGCGTTCATATATTTCGAGCAACACGACCGGTCAGATACGACGCACGGCACGATCAACTTCGTGCCGGACGGCGTTTGGTCACAGAACTGCGTGTCACACAGCTTCTGCGGAAAATAAGAAACGCATGCACAAAAGATCTCTCATGCATAACAGGTTGACCAAAGCGTTTACCAGAAATTCTCCGCGAATAAAGTACTTCGCTCGCACCACACGCTTGTCTTCAGATGAGTCGTATTGCGCTGAAATCAAATGCGGTTAAAATTGATAAGTAAACATGTTGTGCGTACAACAGAGAACGTCGTATTCACGAAATTCATGTCACTTCTACAAATATGACAATAACGAAAAACTCAAACATAACACCACTTCTTGACTGCGTCTGATTCATTTTGTCATCTAACGATGGCTAAGACAGTGTGCAGTTTCGCACTGAATCGTACCATGTCATCATAATGAAGAACATGGAATCTTCTCACTGGTTCGAGATCCAAAAAGGAGCCCAACAGAGTGGTACGTTCTTCCGTCTGCTCATGAGCGGATTAGTAGATCATACTCTACGAAATATGAAAGAGGCTGAAAGGCTCTGAGACGAAAGTACGATGCCCGGCTGAATTGGAGATTTAATGCATTCGAAACAGACATAGCGGATTTGATTGGACTATGTTGAATATATCGATCGACTTAATGCGAACTTGATCAAGCAAGCGAGTGCTAGTGAAAGACAGTAACGAAAAACCTTTGATGTTTACCTGAAGTGGTGTACACTTTACATCGAAAGCGGTCTCGAGCTAAATTCTCACAGACATCGACGAGGATGAATATGAATGGAACAGTAACAGAATGAACGAAGGCGTGCCAGGAAACGGCGCCAATAAAGAATTTCTGTCAATAAATACCAGATCAATCGTGGCGAGTGACGGCAACAGCGGCACGTACTAAAGCAGGAGCTTTGAGATGTGCACTGTGATGGCTTCTCACACTATTAGAAAGCACCGAAAACTCTGAACTGGAAATGGTATAATACTTAAAATCAGTATCCATCTCAAACGGAAACCAGATCGATTTTGTAGTACGAACTAGAAATGGCTGCTCTTGCAAGAGCACGCCGACGCCAACTAAGCGGTGCCGAGTAATGCTGTCTACGGTGCCCGCTGAAAACCAAACTGTACGAACCAATGTGAAACGATCATATTTCGCGGGCATATGGAAAATCAGAGACAGGAAATTGTTATAATCTCATCATTTATCTGGAGGCAACGAAGCCTTAATGCGCCTGCTGGCTGCTGACATGAAAATGCTAACAAGGACGACGAAGGGACGGTGACAGAACATTATGTACTGTAACTGTTATTAACCAGGAATCATTCCTTCGTCGAATTAGTAATCATCTCTCGGTATCAAGATGTTCAGCATTTAATCGAGTGCCGGACACTATAACTCTTGAGGAGCATGCAGCTCTGCTTAACGGTTGGAGGTGATGACGAAAAAATATACGCCAGTATATTAAAAGAAGTATTGTTAAAGAGCAATATGGGCAACAAAATCAAACTTTCAATGCAACGTTTAGCTTCAAGCAAGCCAAACTACAAACAGGCTGCAACAAATTACAATAATATTAAAAGTCGACAGAGTAGACTAAAGTTTGAGTTTTTCTCCGGTTGTTCTTAAAACGTTACGCATGCCATCAGGAAAATAGAGTAATATCCGTAGTACTTGCACTGTCGGTATTTGTGACCTCGTCTTTTTAACTCTGTATGACTATCGAAAAATACCTGAATGATTTTATGTCAGGGGAACAGTGAGCGGGTTTACATAACCTCATATATGCTTTTCTGAACTCACAAAGGACATTTTCTTGCGATACATGTTTCGAAAATATTTTCAATATGCCATGCTACCTATCCTCTAGCGTGGCGGTGTTCATTGTCTAAGTTTTACAAGAGAACTCGCTGAACAACCTGATGATAAACTGTTTTTGCTCCACTGTTTCTAGGTACGAGGCATGACGCCACTGCAGCACTTAGATCAAGTCCCGCAATCTCATTATCGTGCAAACCTATCGGTTTGCTGTTAAGTGATAACAAAGAATCTTTAGACAGTACCACAACCAACAAGGATAATATTCATCAGTCCCAACTTCATTGGTCACCGCAGTGCTTCTGTTTACAGTGCAGTTTCTGTAATTAGCTATCAGTCATGAAGGCTGACTAAACGCTTAATTCAATCTACTTATCAGGACTAACGAATCACTAGAAATGGATAGCGATAAATCACTTTCCAAAAAAGCACATACCCCATATGAAAACAATGTCAGTATTGTACTATATTACCAAAGCTCGATTAAACATATTCCAAAAAAATAGCTAATCTTCCAGCGGATCAACTGCAGAAGGAAGTAATTCTTTTTCTATCACTGAATCTTTCACGGACCTCAGCAGAAACAATAATAGAGACTGCCAGAATGCCCATGCAGGACAGGTTATTGATGTGAAACAGTTTTACGGCCTTCACTGGTCGAGAGAGACACCTTATCAATTCGCTACGAAAGGGACGTAATCTTTCATCTAGCACAATCAATCCCAGTGATGTAAATCTCTTGACCACTGTACTGACAAGCAGCCCGCAGCTGTCAGAGGGATTAGACCAGTTTGACGAAATACCGATTACACAAGTCGCAGATTTTCCTCCACTGTTGCATTTCAGGCTTCGAAAGAAAACGGACACAGCCCTTAACCACTGCGGCCAGGTACAGACGTTCGCGAACTGCTGAAGAAATTTCTCACCTAATTCTACTTAGAAGGATTAATAACGACGTTGAATGGTGCACCGTACTACACACTGAACGCACAGTTTCTCCACCTGTGGCAACCGTTTATGATTATCGTAAGATACTTCAACTCCATCTCGTTGCTCAAAATCTGCTCCCTGATGACAATCGCTGGATCGCTGGAGGGGGGGGCGATGACCTGATGATCTTACGGGCAAGCTGAACGATGAATTTCATTTAAATGATTATGGCAGAAACGATCTTGAAATTTAGGATAAAATATCACAATTCACCATCCTGTGACATTTTATTACTGACCATTATGTGAACATTAACTCCATTAACTATATGTATGCTTTTTCCTACATATTTGTGGCGTTGGTAAAGCTATATTGAACACCGGCCTCAGCATTCTCACTGCGGCGAGTAAAGCTATGCTTAATGCGAGATGCATCAGCATACTGCATGTGCTCAGAAACAGGAGAGCTGTAACAGGTTTGAATAATTTTTCTTGGCTCCAGGAAACAAGTGGGCGGCGCTGTAAGCCCAACGACCGTGTATAGCAGTGGGGTTGAACTACGCAAAAATTTCTACAAATTCTTATAGCAACGGCTTATATCCGTCATTCCGGAATGATGCGCTCACTACAACAACAAGTTTTACATGCCTAAAAGTTCTCCAAATCCAACCTTGCGAACATGTTACTGAAATTGCACTGCAAACAAGGAGAAAGTACGATGAGGTGCATGTTCGTCAGCGACTATCGTACTGGTGAAGGACTGGTACAAATAAAAAAGACGGTGAGCTAACGTGACAGCAGTAATCAGGGATCAGTTATATCAGACATCTTCATGTCTTCAGGGGAAATCAATTTGAGAAAATACTTTGGTCACGGGGGAAAGATTGGTCATGAAAAGTGAAGTCATTACAAGTGGAAAGACTTGTGGCTAATGCTCATATTTATTCCCAAAGTGAGCAGGTTAAAACTTTATTACAGTTTACTGATCAATCTAGCATCCCGTTAGACCAGTGGCTTGTTCTTCACCAATAAGGAATGCAGGATCAGAGAAATGGCAAAAAAGTACCGCTCCAGCTAATAAAATAATGTTGGATGCCCGTCATACCAACCAACTGCAGTCCCCGGCAAAGACGGCGCTCAAATGATCCTCATGAAGAGTCGTTTCGTCCATGTAACTCGTTGCATGCATCTGCTACGTCGCCAAAAAATGGACTGCGAATGGACTCAATCGCCAATGTTTAAAGCTGCTGCAAAAACAGGGACAGAGCGCCATATGGTCATATGGCGAAACTCCTGATTCTGCAACGGTGGATAACGAGAGCGATGGGGGTAATTTGGCAAGTTCAGCGACTGTCGTGTCTTAGATGAAGTCATGTCATTACATGTTCAGCAGTCGGTCCTGACTACATATAAATTGAC